TTTGACATTTGTCAAGGGTGGGAGTGAAATAATCCATCCTGGATAACGTACACCAGAAGATGAGGAATTTGCTAAAAATGCCAAACATTATATATTTTGCAAACACTAAATATTTGCCTTCCATCATTAGCAGTCCTCTACTCCCATGTGAATATCCCACAGTGAAAAACAACATCTCTATGAGGGTAAAATAAACAGTATTCAGAGTTCCTGAAAGCATTACCTCAGAATTATTGCACTAGATTTGACTGCTTCATCAAAAGGGCCAGGAGCCATTTACGGTATTTCCCTGCTTTATTTTTCCCCTATCACAAACAAGAAGAGAATCTGCAGAAAGTTTTCCAAGGCCCAAAAATGGAACTAATAATCAGGAAACCTTCACTGCTCATGCCACACAGCTCCCACTGCTAACACACTACTTGGCCTGTTCATGGAACAGCAGCAAAACTACCTTATTTCTGTTTTGTCATCCTGTGCAGCATCCCCCAAAAGGATAAGCACACACTGAAAGGGCCGACAGATTTGAATCATATCAACCCCAGGAAAATACACAGGCAACATATTTCTAGACTGCCACTAACCAGAGAATGTAGGTAAGGAATGACCCAAGAGACCCATTAAAATTTAGGAATGCTCAATTAAATCAGTGAGTCTGGTCCAACAGCCTTTAAACTTCTTTCTCATTAAAAAAAACCCTATATGTAGATATTAATATATAGATGTGCATCTATATCTATATATCTATATCTATATCTATATATCTATATAGATATAGATATATAGATATAGATATATAGATATGTGTATATTTGTACACACACACAAAATACATTTTTTTTTAAATATGTCTGTATGTTTTTTCTAAACAAGACAGTTTCGAGACTGTTGGACCAGACTCACGGACTTAATTGGGATGTGCTGTTGAGCGTGGAGAGAAAGGGAAGGGTGAGATACTTAACTGCTTCAGAGATCTGAGGCCCTAGCTACTATTTCTGCAGGGATGCCTGGACTTTGCAGGGGACCCAGGCATCCAGGGCCGCAGGAAGCCAGTGCTGCTAAGTTTCAAGACCCTGTCTTGAACCTCTGACCTCAGGGATGAAGCACCAGTTTGGCCCCGCACCACAGCTCACGGAGGAAGGCAGAACAGCAAAGCGAGGGGCCATGCCAAGGAAAGGTCTCCTGCTGTTGGCCCCCGATTAGCCTGGGGCTCCCAGCCCCGATTGGATCCTCCCACCTATATCAGGCTTCCTGTTTCCCGGGGAAACTATCTGGAGAGCAAGGTACCTACCAGCCTCAGCCCTCCCTGCTGCTTCCTTACCTCGGTGCCATGCTTATATAGAGACATCATAAGAACATAGCTACTACCATCACTCCATGCAGTTGACCCCGTTTTCAATATGTGACGATACAAATCCTGGATACATCACTGTCTGCAACTTCTTACTCCGGGGTGGGTGATACTAACCAAGTTAGTGGTTGTAAACCAGGGTGCCACGAGAACCTTCAGCCGAACTGAGGAGTGGCTGCAGCAGACAGGTGCACCTGCCCACATTACATTATGCAAGCAGGCACCACCACTTCTGTTACAGCCCTTCCTGGTTCGGCTTCAACATGCCTCCTGAAAACGGAGGCTTGCAGGGCACTTCTATCTGATAGCTGCAGCATTCATCTTCAGACCTCCACAATGACAGGGTAGAACTGCGCACCTCCGTTTTCAAGAGTCATGATGAAGCCAAACCAGAAAGCTACAGCAGAAGCGCTTTCTGATGCAGTCATTTCTCAATTCAGCTCCCAATGTGCCTCCTGAAAAGAGGCGCATGGGGCAGTTCCACCTGTCCCATGTGCCTCTGTTTCTAGGACATGCTGTGCAGGGCTGGACTGGGAATGGCTTTGACAAAACCAAGTGTTCCTGCCAGAGCCACTTCCTGATCTGGCTGTGCAGAAGGTGCACAATGCATTTCCACCTGGCTGCAGTGGCAGTAAAGTAAATACAATTATGATAAAAATCGATCAATCAATTAATAACTAATAACATTATTACAGTGCTTATATTTTAATATTCATAATATAGATACATTAGTTGTTTAATGGGATGCCATTAAATTTTGAAAAGTTTTGAAGGAGTGCTTTGAGTTTAAGAAGTTTGAGAACCACTGGAATAAGTAAGAAAAAAAAGTCAGTAAGTCATCTTTCTCAAAAAGGGTATTTAGTTATTTTGGTTAAGAGTAAGCACAAAAATGTATGGAGGTGCTTCTTGATCATGATTAAACAGTTGCTTAGAATATCTTTACTTCTCACTAAGGCTGCATCCCTTCTTCTTGCACAGGTAAGCTACTGGCACTAAAGGAAAATTACCTGTAGAACAATACTAAGAAAGCTGTAAAGAACACAAACTTTAGCTCAGCAAAATCTGAACTGATGCAAGAAAAGAGCAGACAATGAAGTGGCTCTGCCTGAAAAATAGGTTGCCTAGAAAACAGTTAAGCAACAAAACTGGAAGAGGTAGGCCAGCGTAATTTTCAGAGGTGAGATTAAATTAGAAGGTTTCTGATATTACAGCAATATTTCAGCTTTGTCAGCACGAAATATCCATCTCCAAATAATTTATAAATGAGAAACAAACTGTTTAGTTATAAGAAGTAGGAACGATTAAGGTAAGTTAGTGGAACGGAAAACAAGCTTCCCACAGAATCATAGTTTGATGGAAATTTTGACTCCCATAAAAATATCGATGAAGCGTTTAAGGAAGGTGGACTTCCCCTACATTCTCATAGTCTGCATGATGCCATCACCACTCTGCCTTAAGGAAAGGGATTCCAAATACAGTGGAAATTACAGAGAAATTATGTTCATTAATGCTGGCAGCATAATCGTGACCAAATATTGGGAAAGTGCCTCAGAAAAGACTGTTGAAAGTTACACATCAGGAACAAAATAAAATTCATAAAATGCTACTGGAAAATACTGAAAGGGATTTCAGCTTTTCCAGTGTGCCAATGGCATGAAGTGGACAACAGTCACTGTGCCCCATTCTATGAGAGAGAGAGCCTAAGACAGAAAATGAAGCTTAAAAACCCATTTTACTATGTGGCAGAGAGAAATTAATAATTTGCACCTTGCCTTAGCGTCCCCATCTGTCAAATCAAGTTATTTCCCCACTTTTACAAACTGCTTTGAAATCTAGGCATGAAGTATTCAACATAAATATGAAATATTATCGTTATGAGTTGAGGATAGTAATGAACAGAGGCAGTTTCACCATTTGACTTTCAGACAAAGAATGTGGTCTGAGATGGTCTGGGAGAGCAGATACAACAAACTAATCATCAACCTTTATCACTTTAAATGCTTGAGAAACGTTGTCAGCTTTAGAAAAATATTCTCTACTAGCTAGAACAAGAACGGGGAGTTGGAGCCCTGGAGGTCTATTCGATGGTCATGTTACTAACTGGAACCCTAGCCAAGGGAAACCAAACCATGCCTCAGTTTTCCAGTCTTTAATACAGTCTTAGTAAGTTGATTATTTCAAAGAGGCAAATTCAAGCTTCACTGTTTATAAAGAGCTTTTGTTTGTAGTGAAATTCTTGATATCTACAAAACAGAGCCCCAAAGCAGCACAGAGAGAAGCACAGACAGAGATGAAACTGGAGACACTTCCACTTGTAGAGCAAATGGATGCAGGATATAGAACATGCTCCTGATTATGACAGACTGATGTACCAAACAAAACTGGTAAACTAATTTCTCCTTTCTGTTATTTGAGGGGAAAAAATAGCAGTAAAATGGAGATTTTCAAAACACTTATTTTTTTTTTAAATATTAAGAGATTTAAATTAAAAAGTCTTTAATCTAGATGAGGCAGAAGTGACTCAGTTCAAACAAGCATCTTTCTCTAATGTTTCCCAGTTGCATACGGCAATTTCCGAACATGGCAAATCAGTAAATAAAAACACATTCAAAGCATCTGATGCACATCCCTGAGTCAGCCGGAACAAATACAAGACAAACATGGGAAAGCTATGATTTCAACCTACTCAGAGAGTCGGAATGGAGTTATTTCATGCTAATTTATGTTGTCCAAACATTAATAGGAAATACCCCTTCAATATACATCTAACAAAATAAAGGAATAGAAATTTGGTTCAGGGAAGAGGTAGATTGAAGCACATCATTTATTGGCAGGGGAAGGGGTCTTTGCCTTCTCAGTGGTTAAGTATAATACTATCCAAGGACACACCATATGGATCAAATCTTTATGCAAGAGAGAAAACTGGCAAGATTTCAAAGTTCTAATTCAGCTGTTACTATATTGTGAGAAATGAGGAAGGTCAGAAAAACTAGAGGATCTCCTCTCAGGGGCTTAGTTTATGTCATTTGATCAATTAAGTGACTAATACAGCATATTTAATATCAGTGCTTCTCAAATTCACCATTTAGATACAAATTCAGCCTGAAGATGGATTTTCAGGTCCCTATGCTCCACTTAATTTCATCCTACATCCAATTTCATGAAATACTGAAGAGCTATATAACTTGTAGTGAAGGCAATATAATGCCTATCCTTTAATCACTGTTCACAGACACTGCCATTAAATATTTAAAGACACTAGTTCTTCATGACAGCAAGAGTAGGAGAACACAAATGGTATCTAAGACCAAATAAAAGACTACAGACTAGAAGTTCCATTACTAAAATATAGTTCTAAAACCCAGGGAGATGCTGCTTTTTAACCACTCATGCTGAGACAACCACTTTACACAAAACCTATTTCCCTTTGAGGGACCATGTGAGGAAAATACATTCAGGTTCAGATCCTGTGCCTTGTTTAGAAATGGGAAAGTAAATAAGCTAATTCAATAAGTGATATAACCCCTCACAAGAATTGTCTTGATATTTTCTGAACAGAAGCAACATACTGTGTATTGTCACTGAGGTCTATGGTAAACCCGATAAGCTACAAAATCCATAGGTTTCTGTTACCACCCTTTACTATTCTTACCATTCTGTTCTTCCAGTTCATTACCAATTTGCTGCCCCATTTGTTTTTGCCGGGACAAAACTGAGGACAGAGTATCAAGCCCAGCATCTTGCTCTGCATAGAAAAGAGGAAACAAAATACATGAGCATTCATTGTTGACATACCAAATGGCATCCCAAAAGGATGCAAACTAATACATAGTTTTAAACATGCCAGAAGACAAGTGAAAAGAAAGATCTGACTTGTGTTGAAAGAGTTAAAATACATTAAGAGAAACATGAACGGCATGAAATTTAATTCTTACAGCCATAGCACTTTTAGATTATAATAAAAAATAATGTGCATAATAGGTAATTAATTTGTCTGCTCCAGTTGGGACATTCAGCCAAAGATCCCAAAACTCCAGGAATTGAACATACTGCTATTACTCAGTCATAAATGCACTGGATTTTCTGGCGCGCACATAAGGCCTCTGATTAGCCTTTTTAAATTTTCCAAAGAGCTTTTAACATGACTAAAAGACAAACAGGTGATGCAAGCACTGAGGAATTCAAATAGTTTAAGCTGTGAGAGGCTATAGCGTGCATGGAAGAGAGAATCTGAGAACATTGGCAGAGCCACATATAGAGAAAGCAGCCACAATTTTAAAGTTCCCTCGCATGGCTCTGTTAGCACTCCCAAGTCCAAACCTGCAACACACACTGTTATTCCAGTTTGTGAATAACTTTCAGCCTTGCAAATATACTTCAACTGCAACGTGCTGCTCTTCCTGCTCAGGACTCCCACAAGCAGAATTGAGGGGTTCCGAATACAAGAACTGCTGTGGTTTGCCACTTGCTGAACAGCAAAAATATTGCATAATGCCAGGCTGCTTGAAGAGCCAGATACTACTTAGCTACAGCCCAAGAATTAAAGGTCAAAGGTTGATCTGTACAACCAGAGTCTATAGCTTTGTCCAGGGCTGAATGTCCCCCACCTTACCTGCCAAATAATCTCTGCAGCTTTCAAACCTACATACATGAATATATACACACAGGGATAAATTTGATATGCACCATATGTTAGCAGTGTTTGAAGTTGACTCCTGAACAGTCAAAATAAAGCTAATGCCGTTCTCTTGACCTACAGATCCAAACATCAGTTCACATACAGATTAAATGATACTTGATTATCTAGAGATTTATTTAATTTGATCATCCTCAACATCCCTAAACATTTAATTATGTGCAGTATTACCTCATTTACAATGTAATGCATTCAGACTGGGGAAAAGGAAATAAAGGGAGTTAGGCACTTACTACCAAAAAAAAATAAAGGGGCTAGGTTAACTCCATAAAGGCCCTATTAATAATCCAGCCTCAAGGAATACATCAGATTTTGTAACCATAAATTAATTCTTATGTACATCATAAGATCCTGATTCAACCAAGTCTATAATATGCATCAAGCTGTATTTCAGTATTTCCACTTAAGTAAACAGTATTAGTAGTGGCCCCTGTTGAAGTCAAGAAATACTGACTTACTTAAAGCTAGACATATCCTGATATACCTTGCAATTCCAGGACAAATCAATCTGCATCCAGTGAATACTCACTGCACAGCTGACAGAGGATGCATATGTACATTAAAATAACTTGGGAGAATTCTCCCAGATTTTCTCTCATGGTAGGAAACACCCCCCCCCCCCCCCCCCAAAACTTACCTAGAGCCACATGTAGAGACACTAAATGTTGAGGCCCTGAAAAATGGAAAGTTTGCAGGACTGACACTGTATTGTTGGGGGGTGGGCCTAAGCAGACTTTTCCAGGGGCAACCAAATGTCTGTACAAGGCCCAAGCTGATGTCACCATAATACTACTTGTTTTGTCCTCCACACTCTCAACTGTACTGGCTGTTTGTATAAAAATATTTTATGCTGCTTTGTGTGACCATTATAGGCCAAGAGACCCAATGTACATCTTCACAGAAGTCTGCAAACTTGGCACACCAAGACACAAAATCTAGTTGCCATTTACCAGGATGAAAAAAACGATGTGGAAAAATATTCCTTGTCTGGGGTGAACAAGTGAGCAGAATTTGAGCAGACTGCTTTAAAAGAATACTGTCAAGTGATACTTTTCCCACAATAAGCTTAAGAATGTGATGCCTTTACAAACAAAGGAAAGCAGAAGTAGGCGAATAGTAAGGCCAATGGGCAAACATTTTTTAAACACAGAATAGCTAATTCTTTGAGTGAGAGACCAAAAATACCACACTGAGCTACAAGGCCAAGGGTTCTTAGGTCAAACAGTGAATCTAATCCAAGGTGTGAATTTACATAAAATATTGCAAATGTTACAAATTACATAAAATGTAAAAACATGACAAAATATAAATTGTAATATAATATAAAATAAAAAAGGTTCTACCTTGTATGATTCTCTGCTGCTGCTGTGTGATATCATCAAAGCTAAGGCCTCTGGTTTCCTCAGATTCTTCCAGGAGCCATGGGTTTGTTGCACCTCGTTTGACCCCTCCAGTCATTAGGCTAGATCTGAAAACATTTTTAAAGCTTAAAATAATTCCTCAAAATAAAAACTGTGTCTTCTGTGCTTTCCCCCTCAAGTAACTGGGAATCATGACGCTACACTACATACTACATACCATTCCCCCAAATCTCATCCGCCAGAGAACATACAATTACCACCTTTAATTTCTGAGCTTGTATGGCAAAACACACCTCCCATGCTACATTACCATGTCAGAAGAGAACAGAGAACGCTAGTAAATGAATCTGTAGTGGATACAATTGCCACGTGTCTAACAAACACACTAATACATGCATTTAACCATGCTATTCACATATAAAATGATACCTTAGAAACAGCTTCAAAACACACTGAGAAGCGTATATGTGCATGCATGCGTGTGTGTGTGTGTGTGTGTGTGTGTGTGGGTGTGTGTGTGTGTGTGTGTGGGTGTGTGTGTGTGTGTGTGTGGGTGTGTGTGTGTGTGTGTGTGGGTGTGTGTGTGTGTGTGTGTGGGTGTGTGTGTGTGTGTGTGTGTGTGTATATATAGAGAGAGAATTTTTTTTTTTTTAAATCAAGACGCAGGGTTAACACTGCAGAGATACTGAAGGCATCCTTCCTGCAGCACCAAAGTTCAGTACATTAGCATGGATTTAGATCACACAAATGCACTATTACTTTGCAGCAACAGTCAAGTCTCACAAGTAACACTTCTGCATTTTAAAAAAAACATTAACTCTCCGATTTCCTTTTTCATATTTACTTTCCTTTGTTTCTTGGTTCAACTTAACAGGAATAAGAAATACGAAAAATCTTGTTCTTAAATGAAACAGCCATTTAAAAAAAAATGACTTGTAGGCTGTTGCTGTTACAGACTTTTCCCTTAGTTATAATGGAAAATAAGTTTTTATTGTGCCAAGTTACATAAATCCAAGTAGTGAAATAACTTCACGTAAATATTTCTCTCAGCAGCAGCAGATTCCCATCCTTGCAAATGCATGTTGTTTTATTACTTATTCTTATTACAGGAAGAATACAATACAAAGTATAACATACAACCTTTTTGCATCCAAAACTGGAATAAAATTTTTGGGAGTATTGGGTATGAAAGGATCTCAGGAGTGGGTTTTTTGATTAAACTAAAACAACCCAGTAAGGCATTTTTTAAACAGTTCTCTATGCATCACTATCAACCCCTAAGACATTTTTACTACCCGTCTCGGATAATATGAGTATGCTGTTACTGCATGTAGAATCAAAGCCAAAATCTAACACTTTTTAAATCAAAGGAGTTTCTCACTTTTATATCTGGATGCGAATCAGGTACCATACAAACTTGTATACATGTACAAATCTTGTGGATTCTATGAATAAAACACATAAATTGGGCTAACTGACCAAAATACCAGAAAACGTAACCAAAATTAATTTTATGCCGTCTGTGACAGGCTGTTGCCACACAACATTGCAGAAGATTCATTAACATTTTATGCCAAGCGCATTTCAAAGTTAAGAAGCTGGTCCAGCCACTCCGTGAGGATTTATAGTGAGCCAGAGACCTCTGCTGGCTAAAAGCTAGAACCACCACAACTGAAAAATATTTTAACATGGCTCTAAATCAGGAAAGTTCAACAACTCAATGGCCAGGCTGCACATCACAGGGGCTGCACTAGCACAGGCCACATGCTGCAGGGGCTGCACCTGCAGGGACCATGGCCCTGCCACCTCTCTACAGCAGCAAGCTCCCATGGCACCATGTGTGTAGGGGGGTAGCTCCCCCTTTCCCCTGCTGTCCTGCATGCAGGCAACCCTGCCCACGCTACTGCACTGCACACATGGGCAGGTGAGTGCCCTGCACCCACTTCCTTGGCTCCAGACTGCCTTGTTGCACGGTGCCACAGGCTCCCCCTGCACTATGCAGTGCTGGCCTGCTCCCTGCGGGCCACCAGTTGGACAGTTCTGCTCTAATTCAGCACACTTCCATATATTTCTTTGGTATTCATCTGACATGGTGCATTTCATTTTGCATTCACTGCCCAAATTAAAGCCAACATGACACTACCACAATGAGTTTCACTATTAAGCTCTATCTTTTTGTTGAAAGTAAAAAGGATTTGCTAGGATCAGGCAATGACCTCTAGTTTTTCACTTTAAGTTTCAAAACAAACCTAAGTTATTGACTGATACAGTTATGAAGGTAATTTTGGTTTCAGTGGGACATGAGTCTAGAAAATACTTTGCTATATTAACTAGTTTTCATCATTGCATTTTGGAGTTTAAACCCTCCAAATTTCAGACTATTACCAGCTTTTGCAAATATAACTAAAATTGCAATTGTATGTCTCTAAAGACTTCTTCAAACCACTTAGCACAATAGTTCAGAGAATATACACAACAGCAAAACAGTGCCATATTTTAAACTTACTTAACAAAATAAAATCAGGAATATACAACTTTTTGCTGTGGCTGCCAAACTGGTTAGCTAGCAAGAATTAAAATATATTTGCCATTTAGAAAAGCCAACATAAGCAAGTCTGAAACAATTTGTGATACTGTCCCTTCTTTTAATAACCTGCCCTATTCTTCTAGTTTTGGTCATGACAATGGATCTGCCTTTTACAATAATCTTTTTGACATGTTTGGTAACTACCTTCCCATACAACAAAGCATAACTTCCTACTTCCTCTGATCTTACCATGTTTCGCTTTGGTGGTGTGAAGATTAAAGCTTATCCAATTAGCCACCCACTGCCTCCGCCACGTTAATCACTTAAATCTTTGAAATTGTCACAGAGCAGTGGAGTGTGTAGATAGCTTTTGATTATAGGAGCAGATTTAACTAATTATAAGGCTTAGCAGTGCACCCAAATATAAAAGATGGGGGGGGAGGAGGGTTAAAATCAGGGGGCTAATGTCACTGCTTAACAAGTGAGGACTTAACTTTCAAAAGCATTGTTTCACTGATAATTCTTATAAAACTTCCCAAGTAACTTAGATTAGTCAACCAGTTCTTACTCTAGACCAAGGCCACACATTAAGACTGGCAGCTTTGGAAGAATGATCAGCAAGACTGAATTTTAAACAAAACCTTGGTCATATGACAACTGCTGAATAACCGAACATTCCCTTACAGATACCACTATATAGTGGTTCTCCCTGAAGTGTCCAGGGTCTAGGCACCACAGCTTGGATTCACAGACTGATACTTAGAAGGATCAGGACAAGAATAATTGAATATATTCTCTTGTTTATATACCCTGAATGCCTGTTTAAGTGATTAATTCATATTTTAGGCAGCTCTTGGTTTTTAGAACAGCATTGGCTGATTTCACAAAGAGACAAGATTCTCCCAAGGCAGAGTACTGTAAGTCTGGGTAGTATTTCAGTGTCTCCGCAAAGTTTTCCCTTTAAGCCTTACGTCAAAGTCCTCAGCACTCCTCCAAAGGAAGAATATCTGCCCATCAGCGTTGCTCGCCTTGACACAGAAAGGGCTAAGCCAGGGGTGCTCAAACCTGCAGCACCATCATGTTTGGCTTGCCAGGCTCCCCACAAGTCAGGGCATTTAACAGTGGGGGAATAGTGGCCATTAATACGGTCGCTCCTTTCCCCACCCCCTGCCAAACTCCCAAGCCCCAATTCACTGTGACAGGCCGAGTTGAGCTGTGACCCCCTTCCTCCGCAGAACTGGGCCATAACCCCCTCACCCCACTTCTGGATGAGGAAATATTTCCCTGCACTGACAGGGAAATACGCTGGGTTAATTTTTGTGTCTATTGCTCTGCTTCCCCCCTCTACAGCTCCCACCACTGTTCTGAAATAGGCACATATGTCTGGAGCAGATTCTATTGCAGATGACTATAAAACGAAGAAGCCATTCAGGTAAAAGTCTCACTGAAAGAAAGTACGAAGAGTTGGTCAGTGACGGCCCTTCTACAGCTGAAAGCTTTATAAAATATGCTGGTATAATTAGTAATCAGAAATAGTTACAGTAGTATAACTACTCAAACAGGCAAACCCCTTTCACAGTAACACAAATTAAACAAAAATGACTCTCCTGAAACACAATGTACATCTACACAAGAGTTATAAATTCACACAACAGCTTATACTAGCGTCTCCTGCGTTCCCTAAGCACTAACATACTCCATGTTCAACAGCCCAGAGTATCACAATCAGATTATTCTAATCCAGATTAACTTCAAGAGTAAATCAACATTTCCTTTATGTCATATTTGGCCTTTCCATGGTGCCTTCCATGCAAGATCTCAACTAAATTATCATAGAGAATCCTGGAAAGGGTGAGTTGGTAATACAGTCAGTGTTAAAACAGGAAGCTCTGATTTCCACTGTCAATTGCTATATTAGGAGATCTCTTACTCCCTTTCTTCCAATAAAAGGAAAATGATTCTGAGAGGAAACTACAATGTGGGTAATCATATCAGAGGCCATTGAAGTAAAGGCAGCTTCTCTGTTTCTCCATAATCTATTATTGCTGTCCAGAAAAACAGATTATGCTGCTGTGATCAGCACCTAATCTTTCATGCACCTGAGACAAGAAACTCCTTTTTCTGTTTCATTTGAAGACTACTTCCCAGACAGAGCAGCACAGTAAGATGAAACATTAGCCTTTCATTTCTGGAAACATGGTCTCAAAAATCCTTGGTCATAGGACCAGGGACAGAAGGCAAATGGGGTACACAACGAGTGGTCATTCCTCAAAGACACAATCCTCAAAGCACAAAAGAAAAACTATTCCCATGAAGAGGAAAGGTAGAAGAAGGGCTGGCAAGCCCTCCTGGCTCAATAGGGACATCGCAGTCTTCTTGAAAAAGAAAAAAAGGGGTGTACACACAGTGGAAGCTAGGGACAGTCCTCAAGGAGGACTACACAAAAGTGGTCTGTCCTTGTAGGGAGATGATTAGGAGAGCTAAGGCAGTGACTGAGTTTAAGTTAGCCAAGGGAGTCAAGGACAATAAGAAGTCCTTCTTTAGGTATGTAGGGAGCAGAAGGAAAACAAGTGGAAGTGT